GTAAAAGCCTGGATCTGAGGAGTGATTGTGGGTATTTTTCCTTCTGAAATGATGGAAGAGTCTAATTTTGTAATTTCCAAGCTATCATTGATATTAGGTTGTGTTATCCCTCCTTTATTTGTTTGTGGCAGAAACTTTGTAATTGACCTGGACTGTGCTTTATGCCATTTTGATGTTTGACGTTTGTTACTTCTTAGGAAGAAGCTTGTTAGAGCCAATGAAAGCCTGCTGTGCCGTCCTGGGGTTTTTAAAAATTCATTTGGGCCTGAGTGCCTGGTGTTTATTGTGTTTGAAATGAACTTTCTTCTAAATGGTACAGCACTGTTCTGTCATTTTGCTGTAATGAGGTACCTTGGGGTTGCTGTGATGCTGAATGGTGTGCCATCAGTGTGTCAAATGCCATAATGATTACACATAATTGACAGTGTTTGGTGGTGTGTCAGATGCCATAATGATTACACATGATTGACAGTGTTTGGTGGAGCTCACAGATTCAGAAAGGTCTGGAAGCACAGGTAGCATCCATTTCCTAAACATGCCCAGAGGAACTCTATAAACTTAGAGAAAGGACAATAGTTATAGAACAGGGTTAAGGTCTTTGGTTCATAGAGTCCCTAATTGATGGCACTTAACAACAACGTATAAGGCCAGGCCCTTATCTCCATTTTGGAGATGGTGAAACTACTGGATTCTGTAACATGGGCTCTCTTGTTTTGGTTGAGGTTTTGTGTGGAATATTTGGTTGTTTTAGAGTCAACAAGACCTCCTGGAAAGCCCTTGTATTTAAAAGTTGGGCCTGAGGGATTTTAATCCCTTGTTACTATAATTTTTGTTATTGCAATTCTTGCTATGCTGAGGTAATTGGTATTTGCAATGACGCTGAACCTTGTGCCATTAGAGTCTCAAATGTCAGAATGGTTGCCCGTAGTGGACAGTGTTCGGTGGAGCTCTCAATTTAAGACAGGTTTGGAAGCAGGAGTGGCATCAACTCCCTAAACCACATGCCTCTGGAAACTGAACTTGGAAAAGCAACAATAGTTATAGAAAGGCTTCAGGTCTTTTGTTCAGAAGGTCACTGTTAGCCGTGCTCAACTTCATGGCAGTCAACAACAACCTGTTATGAGAGTTTGAACTACCAGTGGAGGACTTAGTTTGAGATGTTGGGCCCTGGAAGATGTAGCTTCACAACTGCCACCAAAATTTCAAACCCGACCCACTGTCATCATAGTGATTCCAACTTATGCCAGACCCCTGTGTTACAAAATATAATTGCTCCATTGGGTGTTACTGGATGCAATCTAAAGGCATCTTAGAAGGCCGACTTTGTAGTCTGCTACCAAAGTATTACAACTTTGAAAACTCTGTGCATCAGTTCTCCTCTGCATACCTAAGGTAAGTAAACATGCATTAGAATCAGTGGCAACCAACACAGCAACAATCTTCAAAATAGATCGCCAGACTTTTCTTAGTGCTACTGTTTGGGTTCAAACCACCAACATTAGGATTAGTCTAGTGGCATCCATTTTCTGAACAACGTGTCTCTGTAAACTTTGAACTTTGATAAATTTTGATAGTTGTAGAAAGGTTTCAGGCCTTTTGTTCATAGGGTTGCTATGAGTCAGGCTTAACTTGAAGGCAGTCAACAACAGCAGTCTAGTACAAACCCTTATTGCTACCCAGAAACCTAAAAGATGCCATACATGGACAAACTTGGAAAGAAAAATGGACAGAAGGAAGGAATCCCATTCAGTGAGCTGGTAAATGAAAATTTCAAACACATACAACTGTCTTTGATATGATAGTCTTAATTAACTAAATGAAATAATGTTTAAAAACATTTTGCAGTGTAATATTTTGTTTTCTCTCTAGTAACTGGTATGAACCCTCTGTCTCCTTATTTAAATGTGGATCCTCGATATCTTGTGCAGGTAAGACTAAGACTAGTCCTTTTTTTTAATTTTATTTTATTTTTAAGACTAGTCCTTTTAATGGTTGTCTCCTTTGTCACATTTAAAAATGAAGGTAGTCCCTGACTTAAGATGTATTCTAGTTGTAATTAGTCATACTTAAAACTGTTAGTTTTGATCTTAAACATTTTACTGTTGCAGTAATTTACTTATGATGCTGTTCTTGTCGAATGTTCAATTACAGATACTCAATTTCATGACTTTTCATAACTTTAGTTGCGGCCTAGTGGTAAGGAGTTGTGCTGCCATTCCCAAGGAAAGTGGCTCAAATCCACCAGTTTATTTAGATGGGTAATCTCCTCTCATGATTAAGAACATCTGAAAATTCTGGAAGGTTAGCTATGAGTTGGTTCCAATTCAACAGTACTTAACAGCAGTCCTAACAATAAAAGGCATACATAATGGAGACTTTAAAAATTTCATATAATGTGTTCAACTTACTTTAGAGCTATCTTAAGACAGACTAGAGCCTTATTCTGACTTGATAATTACCTTTACAGTCAAATACTTGGGATTGCATCAAGTCTCTGGTCTCCAGTCCTTTTATCACAGATACTGGCCACTTGACTTTGCATCTTTCCCTAAAGTCATTTGATTAACTCTTTTCAAAGACTTATTATTTAAAACCAGTAAGGAGTTAAAAAGAACAAATAGTAAAATCATAAGAAAAAGTGGTCTGATAAACACAAGCACTTGAAAGTGGCGTTAAATTTCTTTTTAAGTTTCTGGGTTTTCTTTTTTTTTGTTGTCTGGCTAATGAGTTGGAAAAGACATGATGTATACAGATACAGTTGCACATGGCAAGTTTTTAAAGCTCAGTTACTTATTATTACTGAGTTATACTGATCGAGAAGCTTCAAAGAGTAATGATGGGATATTTTCAGAAAATACAGTTGGTTTAACATTCAAAAACAGTGTACTTTACCATATCAATAAATAATAAAGAACAAAAACCGCAATTGTCTTAATAGATGAGCAAAAGCATTTGACAAAAATCTGACATCGGTTTATAGAAATACTCAATAAGGTATGAATAGAGAGGAATTTCCTCCTGATAACAGGATCTGGAAAACTCATTGCTAACATACTTAAGATAGGTAAAAGGTATAATCCTCTTAATACCAGGAGCAAAACTAGGATGCCCACACGCACTACTACTGTTTTCACTGATCCCATGGAAGTTATAGCCAGGGCTGTTAGGCAATAAAATGAAATCAAAGATATCTAAATTAAAAAGGGCTTCAATCCCAAAGGTACACAGTTTGAGACCACCAGCTGCTCTGTGGGAGAAGGATGGGCAGTCTCCTCCCATGCAATTAACTACCTCTGAAAACCCGAAGGTCAGTGATGGGCCAGTTCCAACTACGGTATGCAACAACGCATGACATAAACTTGTCTGTAAAAAATCAAATTACAAACAGGATATAGTGTTCATACGTATGAAAGTAACCAGTACCTAAATAAATGGAAAAATTAAATCTTCCAATACAGGAGGTTTATTGCTGTTAAAAGGGCAAGTATTTTTTGGGGTAGTAACCATTTCCTGAGGCACTGTTTGTAGTTTCTTTTGGTAGAGGTTTTTAGTTTTGCTTTTTTAAATGATTTCCAATATTCATGATGTCATCCAGTTGAAATGGTAACTATTTCACAGTCTGACCCTCCAATTTGTCATTAAAACTTTGCTTCCTATTTTTGGATACACTTCTATACTAGAAGCAGTGGAACTGAATGCATTTTAGCAGCCGTGCATAATGGTTAAAATGTTCGATTGCCGTTTTCAAGGTTGACAGTTCACATTCACCAGCCACTTCACAAGAGAAAGGTGAGGCAGGATGCACAGTTGTATACAGCCTTGGAAACCCTGTGGGACAATTATACTCCATCCTACAGGGTTGTTATGAGTTGGAATCAACTTGATGGGAATGGTTTTAGCTTGGTGTTATACAGTGCAATTGGTGTAAGTTTAGCATGAACTGTTGAATAGTGTTTAAATATGGAATATATATTTAAATAGCAATTAATAGCATGGACTATACTATAGCATGCAGTGTGTAACCAAAACCTTGATCTCAGCCAGTTAAGTACATATTTCTTAACATTTTTAATTTGGTTTTTTTATTACCTTTTTTCATTTTATTGTTGTAAAATACCTTCAAGTCAGAAATGACTCATAGCTGACCTTATCGTAGCAGATTTTCAGAGGAAGCAAATTGCGTGAGAGTAAAGTCTTTTTCCATCTTCCATGGAGCAGCTGGTGGATTCTAATCGTGTGCCTTTGGGATGGCAGTGCAGCTCTTTACCAACTAGGCCATCAGAGTTCATTCAGTTTAGGAATTTTTATGTATTCATTGACTTAAAGACAATAATAGGCCCATTGTACAGTAGCGTAACATTTTTAATGAGAAAATAACTATTTGAAATCCAATAGAATGACATTATATTAACCTTTTACTAAATCTTTGCAATGACAAGCTTAAAATGTGCATACAGATTTTGTGTGTACATTTGATTGTAATGTGGAAAAAATACATCCTCACACTGATAATGGAAAAGAAAGTAGTGCTTTATGGGTATTCTTTGATACTGTTGTCATGTGCCTTCAAGTCAGAACCTGCTCATTGCTGACCCTGCCAAAGGTTTTCAGAGACTATCCGTCACATGACAGGAGATTGCTTATCTTTGTTCTTCAAATTTACCTATGAGGTGAATTTGAACCTTTGCCATGAGTTATGACTCCTTACTGTTAAGCCACCAGAGTTCCTTTACTATTACTATGGTAAAAGCTTAACAAGTGTTCTGTTTTAAAAGAGTAGTTGGAGTATAGAGTTCAAACTATATGAATAAACTTCTGTAGTTAACTATACTAAATTCCAGGAAGCTTAGTGGTAGGGAACTGAGCTGGCAGCATAAAGGCACACAGTTCAGGTCTTCTGCAATTTGCTGCTTCTGAAAACCTGCTGGAGGATGAGCCATGAGTCACTTCTGCCTTGACAGCACATAACTATTGCATCATACTGAGATCCATTTGTTGACTTGCATCTTGAATGGATCTTTTACCCATATACAAATTTCAAAACATCATAATTAAGAATGCTTTGGGCAGAATATTAAATGATCGAGGAAGCATTAAAAGAAGATGAAGGAATATAAAGAATCACTGTATCAAAAGAAATTGGCTGACACAGAAGAATTTCATGAAACAACATATGAACAAGAGCCTGTGGTGATGAAGCAAGTTCAAACTGCTCTGAAGGAATTGGTAAAAAACAAAACCCCAAGAATTGATGGCATATCAAGTGATACATTTCAACAAACGGACACTGTCCTGGACGAGCTCACCAAGTTTTGCCAGGAAATCTGGAGGAAACACCCAGCCAGCCTACTAGAAGAGATCTATATATGTTTACATTCCAAAGAAAGATGACCCAACAGAGTGAGGAAATTACTGAACAGTATTATTATTACATGCAAAGAAGATCCTGCTGAAAATTATCCAAAAACAAATGGGAACAGTACATCATCAGAGTACTGTCTGATGTGCAAGCTGGGTTTAGAAGAGGCCCTGGTACTAGGGATAATGTTAGATGGATCTTGGCTGAAAGCAGTGATTACCAGAGAAATATCTGTGTGTTGCATTGACTGTGCGAAGGCATTTGACTGTGTAGCTCACAACAAACTGGCTAACTCTGAGAAGAATGGGAATCTAGAACACTTGATTGTGTGCTTATGTGAAACCTATATTTGAACCAAGACATAGTTGTCAGAACAGAGCAAGGAAACACTGCATGGTTCAAAATCGGGAAGGATGTACACCAGGGATACATCCTATCTCAATACTTTTTCAGTCTATATCTAGGAAGCTGAGCTCTTTCAGGAGGAATGTAGCATCAGGATTGGAGGAAAACTCATCAACAGTCTGTTACGCAAATGACTAAACCTTGCTTGCCAAAACTGAGGAGTGCCTGAGGTACATGCTGTAGAAGGTCAAGAAGGACTACAGTCTTCAATATGAATTGAATCTCAACATCAAGAAAACAAAGATTCTCACCACTGGGCCTGTTCGCAGCATCATGATAGGGGTGAAAAGATTGAGATTGTTAATAGTTTGAGATTGCTTGGCTCCATAATCAACACATTTGGTACCAGCAGCTAGGAAATCAAAAGACTAATTGCATTGGGGAAAGTCTGCTGTCAAGAACCTCTCCAGCATACTGAAGAGCAACAGTATCATTCTAGAGAATTGAGGTGCACCTGATCCAGGCCATGGTCCTCACAATTATTTGCCTTGCATCAGAAAGCCTGGACAATGACTAAGGATGATAGAAGGAAAACTGAGGACTTAGAGCTGTGCTGGAGAAAAATAATTGACTATACTGTGGACTGCCAGGAGAAAAAAACAGGTTCTTCCTGGAGAGGATAAAACTCAGTTGTTCCTTGGAGGCAAGGATTCTGAAGCTTTGTCTGACATACTTCAGGCATGTTGCAAGAAGGGACCAGTCCTTGGAGAGGGACATCATGCTTGGGAGGGTGGAGGGGCAGCATAAGAGAAGAAGACCCTCAGTGAGATGGATTGACTCAGTGTCTCGGGTAATGGAGTAGGTGTGTCAGAGATGATAAGGTTGGTTGGTTCAGGATAGAGCAGGGTTCAGAGCTGTGTACATAGGGTTGCTATGAGTAGCAAGCAGGGAACTTGCCGGCACCTAACAAAAACAAGAGCATCTTACACAGAACCTCCAACTGTTGTGTAGTCTTTTTAAAAAGGGAGAAAATCCTTCTTTTAAAAACTATGTTCTTTGTGTTATCAAAGTTAATGCTAGCAAGCTTGGAATTGGCCTGAATGGTTATACTGTGTCTCAAAGGATTATTTGCCAAAAAAAACTCAACCAGGGATTATATTCCAGCACCTAGTTATCTACCCTTGCATGAATAATTCTGACTTGTGCCTTTTCTAGGGTTGGGTTTTGTTTTTTTTATTTTAATGAACATTTGCTCTTACTCATGGAAGATGCTACTCAGTATTAATTATTACAGATATACATTATTATCACCTTTCTAGATTATTTGCTGTTTATTTCAATGTAGAGCTATTCTTTTCCACTGCTGTTTCAAACCTCCTGTAGTAACACAAATTACATGGGCTGTTGTTGTGTATCATGGAGTCAGGACTGATTCATAGCTGACCCTCCAGCAGGTTTTCATAGGTTTTAAATCGCATGGAAAGAGGACTGCCCATCCTTCGTTCTCACTAGAAGCAGCTGGTGGATTTGAGCTGCCTTCCTTAGGGTTGGCAGCGTAACTTCTTACCACTAAGCCACTTAATCACTTTTAGAGACATTTAGACACATTTAGAGTGCTCCATAGGCAGTTAGCTGCACTGCTAATTCAGAAACAACACTTGTCTGGAGGTTCAAATCCACTAGCAGCCCTAAGAAAGAAAGATCATATTCTCCTCTCATGGGAAGAGAAGACCTCCTCTGAAGACCCACAGGAGAGTCAACGATGTGTAAATTCTGACTCATAGCAGTGAATCTTTCTAGATTATCTGACGTAAATGAATACAGAAACAAGATTCTAATAGAGAATCCTTCCTGATTCTTACAGCTATGAAGTGGAATTTCTATTTCATTGAAATTTGACCAAAGTGTTAGTATTATTACCCTTAGGAGATAGGATTAGCAGTCTTCTTCCATGAAGACTTGTAGCTTCATAAACCCTGTGAAGGGTCACTTATGTAAGTCAGACCTGCCTCAGTGGCAGTGAGGTTTGTTAAGTGGGCAGAGGGTTGTCTTTGTGACATAGTATGTAAGATCAGTAGCTTGCATATACCTACGTCTCCGAGTGAGAGAGATGAGCTGTCTCTGCCTGGAAAGATTGATAACCTTGGTAACTGTATAGAGTTGCTGTGAGTTGGAATTATTCAATGACAGTTGCATAGTTAATATTATAGACTGTTATTTTTGTTTAGATAAGTGAGTTAATAACTTTTTTCCCACTCTTTGAAAAACTAAAAACTACTTTCCAGTTCCTCTTTCTTGAAAGAAGTTTAACTCCATTTTTATTATTGCCCTTTTAGGATACAGATGAATTTATTTTACCCACGGGAGCTAATAAAACTCGGGGCAGATTTGAACTTGCCTTCTTTACTATAGGAGGATGTTGTATGACAGGTGAGTTCAATAATTTTTTATTTTTTTAATTACCCTTAATCTAAACAGTTGAAGGTATTACAGATAATTTTTAAAAATTAATAAGCAACATCAGGTTTGTTCTGATTTTTCCTTGTTGTATACCGTCGAATCGGATCCAACTGGCACAGGAGGAGATTGCCTCCCCTTCTCCAGCAGAGCATCTGGTAGATTTGAACCCTTCACTTTCAGGATTGCAGTGCAGCTTGTGACATTATCAGTTTTAGAGTTACAAGTATTCCTATTTTCACTTCTATGTAAAAATAAAGGACTAGTGCTAAAGTTGTGCTCAGTAGATGAATACTCTTATGATTTACTAGGGGCTGCATTTGGAGCAATGAATGGTTTGCGGCTAGGACTGAAGGAAACCCAAAACATGGCATGGTCCAAACCAAGAAATGTACAGTAAGTCGTTTTCATTATCTAATGTAGTGATACTGGAATATTAACATCTCTTACTAGTTTGTGAAGTACAAATGCTTATAATAATGGTTTGATTGTTGTCTAGATTTTTTTCCCTTTTATCTTTAATCTTACTTAAAAGGAAGTAAGAGATTAAGTCACTCATTACCAGACAGTCAGCTAGTGCTGCCCTAGCCCAATGAGAATTAGAACATACTCTTTCTTCAATGGCTTTTAGGCCACTTCCCCCCCCCCCCCCATTTTAAAAGTCTCTTATACATCATTTAACCAACAGATCAGAGCATATGTGTAAAATTAGACCCTGAGACCCTGAAGGCCAGTCAGGTTTTTTTCCCATTTTATGTGTTGATATTCACCCTAAGCTTATTTATATTAATATTTCTTGTCTCAACCCAACAATTTATTTTACTTTATATTTTGGAGAATTTTTAATATATACAAAAACAGACAGCTGTCTGTTGAACACCTTTTTCCATCCAGTAATCATCAGTCCAGTGCCAGTCCCATCTTCTGTTTCATACTATTTTGAAACAATTCCCATTATTATTGTGACTAAATTTAAATTTTAAATATAAGATCTCTTGGAAAAGCTAGCAAACTTTTATTCTTTTGTTTAAATTGTTATTAAATTTTATTAGTTTTAGTGAACATTTACAGAGATTTTGGGTTTTCATTCATTCATTGTTGCACTGTTTTCTCTACCCTCCTCCCGAGTTTGTTCTTCTTCCCCCCTCCCCCGAAGGTCTGCTTTAATTGTCCAGTTGCCACAGTGCTTGTC